GGTAGAGAGAGGTGGCTAAGTGGTCTGAAGGACCCCTCCCCCTGGGGGCTGGGTGGCTGTGGGTTCCTAAGCGCGGGGCCTGCGATTGGGAGACACTGCCACCAGGGGGCGAGCTGGCCTCAGATTCTAGCCCTGTGCAGCTCTTCACACCCCTGTGGGGCTGGGGTGCCACCAAGGGAGGTTTGGGGACTGCCCAGGGCAATGGCGGGAGGCAAGCCAGGGCCTCTCCAGGTCCAGGTGCCTTTCAAGTGGCTGGTATTTGCTGACACCTACTATGTGCTGAGTGTTTGGCACCATAGAGGAGACAGGTTGAGTTCTCCTTGGGTCACAGGGCTCCCAGAAGAGGAGGTGACAGTGGGGAACATGGACACAGCTGGTCAACTGTGTCCTAGCCCAGAGCATCCTAAGTGGCTTTTTTGGGTGAATTGGAATATGACACGAATTATGAAGTGGGTTCTGAGTCACTGAGCAAATGAAGCCCTTCCTGGATTGAAGGGTGAAGAATTTTTCACAATGTCACTTAATGCTCCCAAGGCCTGGTCACACACCTCTGTGAAACTGTGAATTTCACCGTCCAGGGACCTCGAGGCTCATGAGGGCCGGGATGCTGTTGGGAGGAGCACCAGTGTTGCCTCCAGGTCTCCTTTAAGCTGAAACGAATTTTTAAATGATGTTTTATTTACTTCACCAGGGGTCCCAGCTTCAGCGTGATTGAAAAGGCTTCCCCTGAATGTTCTGGAGGCATCTTTAATGGAGGCAGAGCCGTCAACCATGCCACACTGCTTCCCCCATGTCCAAATGGGAATGTCTCGCTCAGACCAGCTCTCCAGCACTGTGTCACTAGGTCACTCTCGGTGGCATCTGAGTTCTCTCATTTGGAGGCGTCCTGGCAGCTCCCGCAAGGCTGTTTCTGAAAAGTGCTGGGTGGAACGTGACGTCAGGCCTCAGTAGCATCTTCCTCTCCCAGGCGAACCCGGAGCGATAACGGACGGGCACTTCCTACCGCGGCTCCTTCTTCGGACACTCATTTCCGCCCTTTGTGATGTACAGAGGGACCTCTGAGTGTGTGGCTTGTCCCTCACGATTGTCCTGACTACCCGTTTGTCTGCTCTCCGATTGAAGGACACGCAGGGTCCCTCCCGTTACAGCCCCGCCACGGAGCCTCCGTGCGTGCAGAGCTCACCCTGTGCCTGAGGAAGGCCTTCTCCAGGTGCAGAGAGCATTTCCATTTTGCCAAGGCTCCCGGGATGTTCTTGGCTCCTAATTCATTGGATGCACGAGAGTCTTTGCTTCCCTCATTTTCAACTACATTTGCATTTAAACATCTGTCAATCTGATGCACTGTTTTAATTTGCATCTGATTATGTGGAATATTGAGCATATTTTCAACTTCCCCAGGCGGCTTCTTCAGTCATTAACCCCTTACATTCACCCAGGCTGCACACTCCTAGGAGGGGGACTGGGTATGAATTCGGGGCCCAGCCCGTTGGGCACCAGCTCTGCCTGCCATTCCTACCTCCCTTGGATCCCTCCTTGGAGCCTGATCTTCCCACAGTCCCACCCAACTCTCCTGCCAGTCCTGGGATCACAGGGACTGTGAGGGTGGGTGTGTGCAGGGTGGAGGTCCAGGGACACTGTGGGACCCCAGGGCGCCGCACGCACGAGGAGCCGGCTCAGATCTGTGCCTTCCTCTATTAGCACCAGCAGGACCCACCCTCCTGCCTCTCTAGAACTTCCTGAGCCACCTGTAGCTCCCCAAATACACTATGCTGGGATTTGGTTCCCACCGTATCCTCTGTCTGGGAAGGACACCCCTTTCAGTCCTCCTGCAGGTACCTGTCCATGTCCCAAGATTCATCTCAAGAGCTGCCTCCTCTAGGGAGCCTGGTGCATGGCCAGCAGCCCGGTGCAGGTGACACCACGTTCTCCTCCTGGCTTTCCTGGCCCTGTGTGAACCTGATGCCTGTGTCACCTCCTGGACACCCAGTTACTGAGGTACCTGAGGGCAGGTGCCTCGTCTTACCGCCTTTGCATTCCCAGCTCAGTGGGCAGGGCCGGGCAGGGCAGGAGGAGGCGCTCTGTCCATGTTGGTTGCAGGAGTGGAAGAGCCTCAGAACCAGCTTCTTTTGCATCAGACTGGAAATGTCTGAGGTCCAGGGCCGCATTGCTCCCATATGGCCCTCCCCATGGCACCTAACAGGGCTGAGCACTTGTGAGGCTCCGAGCACGTCTGGTGACACCAGGGCATGATCAGCTGGTGGAGTAGGAGCTGGCTTCAGTGGAGGCTGCTGCCTTGACCCAGCTGCCTATGGGGATGACCTTGTGCCACTTCTCCGGCCTCTCCCAGCCTGTTCTTCACCCTCAGGACGGGGTGACAGTGGCTTTGGGGGCTGGTGTCAGGATGAAGCCAGGTTATGTGCCTAAGGCACGTGGCGCGTGAACAATTTTTTGCACCAGGATAGTGGAGCAGTCACTGCCTGAGCAGTGACCCCTTGGGTGACTTGGTTGTCAGGAGCCTGTGTACCAGGCACAGGAGCTACTTAATAAGACGAAGTTCATGCAAGTTTGAGGCCAGCCTGGGAACCTTAGCAAGACCCTGCCTCCCAGGAAGAGCTTTACAAGGGCAAGGATATAGCTCAAGTGAATGCTCCCAGGAGGAGGAGGAGGAGGATCCAGCTTTCCCAGCACCAAGAAAAATCTAGTTACCCAAGAAGGAAGCAGCGCGCTTGGGGCCTCATGATAAATCAAGCCAAACCACTTTCCTGTCCTGCACCCTGAACCCACCTCATCTTAGAGTCATTTCCTTTTGGGGGAAAGGGGGTGGTCGGGAGAAGAGTGGGAACATGGCTCCCCTTCTCCTGGCAATGACTGTGTGAGTTTTCCCTCCGCTTTGATTTTTCCACAGCAAGAGGGTCACCCGCTAGACGCCGCTATTCCAGTGGTCTCCAGTGAACCCCGTCCACCCAGAACGACTCCTCCTGGAGCTTCCTTGCAGAGTCGGAGCGTGACCATGTGTCCCTTGGCCATGCTGACCGGTCAGTTCCACGTGCAAGCCTGGATCAGCCCTTGCACTTGGATCTTGTCCTGTTGGGAGACTTCTTAGAACCAGAAGCCCAAGACAGCCTCAGAGAGAGGCCCCGGGGAGGGCCAGCCAGCCCAGCCTGCCCCAGCTGGGGTCCCGTCCCTAGCCCAGAAGTTACTGCAGCTGACGCACCAGGCCACCTTCACGATAGATGCCACCCGGAGCAGAAAGGAGGCGGGCTGTGGAGCCTGCCCTGCTGCACACAGCGGGTAATAACCTGGAGCACAGCAAACCAGGCCCCGGGACGGGAGCACGTGCCCAGTGTGCACACCAGGACCTGGGTGGGTGAGCAGCGGGCACACTGGGCTTCAGACAGTCCCACCCAACTCTCCTCCCAGTCCTGGGATCACAGGGACTGTGAGCGGTGGGCGTGTGCAGGGTGGAGGTCCAGGGACGCTGTGGGACCCCAGGGCGCCGCACGCGCGAGGAGGAGCCGCTCAATCGGTGCCTTCCTTTATTAGCACCAGCAGGACCCGCCCTCCTGCCTCTCTAGAACTTCAAGTTCTTGGCTTTGCTCTTCTCTCCATATTTCTCTTCCAGCGCTTTCTGCAAGTTCATGTTCATAGCATTTTTCTGGTGCCACCGTCCTACAGAGAGGAGAGAGAGGCAGGCGCCGGTCACCAGCAGCCTCCGGAGGGCCCAGGCCCCAGGGGTGACCCCTGGCCCCTCCAGGTCCACCCAGGGCTCTCGTTCCTGTCTGGGTTCTCTCCAGACCTCAGGCCCAGGCTCCCCGCCTACCCAGGTCGTCCGTCCTCCTGCCGTGCCAGTGGCCTACGTCTCGCACCGATTTCTCAATCACCTCCGGCGTGTAGGAGGCCTTCATGAGACTCTTGGTCTCCTGGGGGGGCCCTGTGGGAGACCGCGAAGAACACCTCAGCGTCCACAGCCGGGAGGCTGGGCCTCGGTTCCACTGCTGAGCTGGGCTGTGGCCGTGAAGGGGTGCAGGGAGGGGCTCAGCGCAGAGCAGGTCGCGGTGCAGACCCCAGCTCTACTGTCTGTGGACAAGTGTCGCGCCTCTCAGCGCCTCCGTGTCTTCATCTACACCAGGGAGTAAAATTCTCTGGCAAACATGGAAAGGTTAAATGATTGGGCATTCAGCGGAGCATCCGACACGTGCTGTTTAATACCTGTATTTCAGAAAGTCCATCTCAAGACATAAAATTAAAGCCCAAGGAGGTAGGTGCCATGGTCACAAGTTGGCAGAAACATCTATCAGAGGACCAAATCCCCAAAGATAGCAAGGACTTCCTTCAGTGACCAGAAACAGAGGATGCAAGGACAGCTCAGTGGCAGAATGTTAGCCCCCAAATACCCCATTCTCTACCCTTTTTCCCCCAGTACTGGGGAGGGAGCCAGGGCCTCGTGCGTACAGGGCAAGTGTTCTCTGGCTCCACCACTGAGCCACGCCTCCGGGCCACTAGACATTTTTTAAAATTTGCCAAGTGCTAAGAAGAGTTCTAGGGCCTTGGTATGAACTTGCTTATTGAATCCTCTCACCCACCTAAGAAGTAATTATGATTACTATCCTCATTCTACTACTGAGGTCACTGAAGCACAGAAAGGTTAAGTAACTCGTCTCAAGCCACACAGTGGGTATGTGAAAGGTCTAGATCTCAACCCAGACCCTGTGCTTCAGCCCCACAGCTTAAGCTATGCTGCTCACGTGCAAAATTCAGGAGCATACCAACTTCCAGACTGAGGAAGGAGTGGGAGGGTAAAGCTGACGCCTTTGATGGTCCTTGTAGTGTTCATGAAAACCTAAATACCTTGATTAACTTTAGAAGTTGCTAGCCATGCCCGTAAAAACCTCAAAGGTAACCACCACAGGAACAGGAAGAGCAGCAAAGGACACAAAGTGACCGAGAGGGCTCGGGGGTCAAGCAGGTGTCGAGCATGCGCGAGGCCCTAGGGTGGAGGCCCCAGGGTGAAGGCCCAGCCCCAAGTACATACGTGCAGGATTGAGAGGAAAAGAAAATTCAAGGAAATCCAAAAAATCAAAAGAAAACACAAAATAAGGTCATGGAAATAGATCCAAATCTATCAGCAAGTGGAATAAATATAAATGGGTCCGCCCATTGGTCAAACAACAGTTCATCGGACTAGAGGAGAAAACATCTTCCAGATACATGCTGCTTAAGGAGCACTTTTTTAAAAGCACACAACGAGAAGATGAACCGAGGGATGGAGAGAGATCCAGCAACCAAATACTAAGCAAAACTAATCTGGTCCAGCTCTATTTGTAGCAGACAAAATAGACCATCAGGCAACAGCCTGTGAGATATTAAAAAAAAAAGGTTGCAATTCAATAAAGTGACGCGATGATTCTAAACTTGCTGCACTGAAATGATCTCCAAATAGAGCAAAGCCAACAGAGCTACCAGGAGCACAGGCAGATCTGCCGTGGCAGAGGGAGAGTGCAAGGAGCTCTCTCTGGGTAATTACGACATCAAGCACAGAGTATTCAGAAGGCGTGACAAAATCAGGGCAGAGTGAGTGACAAGCTGCTCTTTTCTAGCAGATAAACGCAGAACCCTGGACTCAGGAGGTCATTTCAGGCACACGCAGGTCAGCTACAAAGGTGACCGCCAGTCGGCCTATAAGCACCCCTCCACCATTTCAAAGGACGGGACCATCCGGGGCTGTGTCCTCCTGCAGGTGTCCCATGGAGCCGGAGCCGTGTTTAAAGCCATCTTTGGAGCCTGGCGTCTGGCTGGACGTGCTTATGTAACAGAGTACTAAGTTTGGGCTGAAGCCTTCCTTCAGTCCTGTCCCCGGTCACAGATCAAAGCCACCCAGAAACCCGCTCCTGGGATGGGACTCGACAGCAGGTGTCTACAGGTGCTGTCAGGGGGCCAGATACCGGAAAACCATCCGGCCAGGACAACCGGAGAGGGTTCCGCGGTCTCCAAGGCTCTGAGCCCCCCTGCCCAGGTGGAGCTGGTGGCCACCTTCCCCTTTCACCCCAAGTCTGATCAGTGGGGCCTTGTGAGGCCGATTCAGGAGGCTGTCTGAAGACAAGGGCTCGGGGGCCACCAAGGCCTTGACCAGCCATGGCCAGCCGTGCCCCACACTGCAGGGTGCACGGATGTTTCTGGAGACCAGGTGACCAGGTCGGGCAGTGGAGAGAGGACCATCCCAGAGCCCCGACCCCAGGCCTTCAGAGGGCTGAGGGGTACCAAGAGGAGACGTGCTGCAGAGGACACCCCCAAACCTGAATCATCAGGAAGCCAGGGGGGTGCTGGCAGGATGGTGGATCCCTGGCCCTCAGAATGCACTGCATGGTCTCAGTGGGGGCTCCGTGGACCCCACAAAAACACCCAGGGAAGGAACGCTGGGCTCCAGGCCCCTGACATCAGACAAGATGGCAGGAACAGAAACACACCAGGCCACCTTAGGGCCCCACCCGCCCACCCTGTGTCCTGGGGGCTCAAACCGCAGCCGGGAAAAGGTCAGCCCCAGCCAGCCCTGCACCAGGGTGGCCATCCCCCTTCTCGGTCCTTCTTCTGACTGTGGTTCCTTCACCACACCACCGCTCGGACATGCTTTATTAGTAGATCTAAGCATGAGACGATTATTGAAATTTTATCTTAAAAACTCTACGGGCAGCTGCTGCTGCTGCAGTCATCCTTTAGAAACAGGTAGAAGCGGGGAGGGAACTCGGCCCCGGGCACAGCCTGGGCTCTCAAACCCCAGTTTCCTGTGACCTTAAGCAAGTTTTTAAATTGTTCCACGCCTCTAATTTTCTTTTTTCCTATCTGAAAAAAAAAAAAAAAAGGAATTGCAGCATTTACACCCAGGATTCTTGTAAAAATGAAACTGTCAAGTCCTGAGAGCGGGGCCCGGCAGACACTGCATGTGGCCCCTGAAGGTAGCTGTTCTCACTACCCCAAAGAAGCCCCGGAGAAT